TTGCATAGATCTGGATTAGCTTCAGGTTTTGGCATGTTTTGGTCCTAAGGGTTGGTTCTTGTGAGTATAAGCTACTCTAGAGTTCAATTTAGTTACGTTATGATATTTATGAGGATCTTGAGTCATAAAAAATGGAGTCTTTGAAGCTATTTCTCACTCATGCAAGATTTTGAGGTTGTTTAAGAGTGTTACGGACTTAGGGTTTGGTTTTGGGCTCTATTAAGCCATGCAAAAGCTTAAAATACTCGAATTTATCAAATAAGACCTTCCTAAGATTATGATCTCTGAGTTAGACGAAAGGTTTTTAAGCATTAAGAGCTTAATAGTAATTTTTGGGCAACCAATAAGTATGTTGGGCGTACCCTCTAGGTACGCACGACGTAACGGGTTTAGCCCGTGTCCCCTTTATGTGAATATCCAGTACGCTAGGCGTATGTATGATGTACGTACGGCGTACTCACCTAAAGCCCATTTTGGCCATTTTTGGGCCTTGGGCCATGGTTAGTTGGGTCTAGGGTGGGAAGGGTAAAAGGGTCTTTTACCCTTTCTAAGAGAGAGTATGATTTGGACCTTCATTTATGGGTTATTACCCTAAATAGTAATTAGGGTTGGTTTGAATGTGTTCAGTGTGAGGAGCCGTTGTAGCAACAACTCGTGTGTGTGATTGTTTATCATCATATCGAGGCGAGTCTCTTCACTGTACTCGTGGTTCGAAGGCACCAATGTCAGCCCACTAGGTTATGTTTGTAGGATGCTAGTTGTCTATGTAATACTTGCATGTTTTGTATGCGAGTTAGGGCAAGGGTCGTTATACTCATTGGGCAGGGCCCGTTATGCGAGTTAGAGCGAGGCCCGTTATACTCATTGGGCAGGGCTTATTGCTTGTATGGTATGTGATATTTTGGGGAATTCATTAAGCTTTGTGCTTACAGTTTTCATTTAAATTGTTTTCAAGTACTTTTGGTTCAAAGGGGAAGGGTCTGACGTGATTGTATCGCATCCACCTGTGTTTGACAATTTATGATTTTGAGATTGTACTCTGATAACTATTTTCGACTATGACATACTTTGATGGCTTCTGAAATATATAGTTGATGGTTTTTTTTTTTTGATTTAAAATAAAAAATTTACTTAGTATGTTGTTACATTGCGGATTTAGACATTTAATATAAGTAGGTTTATTTAGTTTTGATAAAAATGTTTAGGGAATGCTTATATTGCTTTTTAGAAGTATGAAATAAATATTTTGTTTAAGTTGAATTATGATCAGGGTTAATATAATAAAAAATTTACATATTGAATTTTGTCCTTATTAAAGATCGATTTTATTTATTTCAAGAAAAAGATCTAACATTTTTTTATTTTTTTCGAAAACACAATAAGTTTAAAAAACCATCAACCTTATTAATTTATTTAAAATAAAAAAAACCTTCAACTTTTTTTCCCGAAAAACGCTCACATTTGAGAAGTTTTACTTTCGGAAAAAAACTAGAAATTGCCAAATTGAAATAAATGGAAAAGTGCAAGATCTTTTTCATGGAAAAAAATAAAATTTAATCCGGAAAAAACATAATATATAAGATATTTTTGATAGATTATGAAATTAGAGTTTGATTTTGTATGATTAATCCGGAAAAAAAATAAAGTTGAATATTGTTACATTGATTTTTATAATTTTATATGAAAAGAATTATTTCAAAGTAATGAGTATATCGAATTAGATTTTTAACAATTTATGTTAAAAGAATTGAAAAAAAAAAAGACACATTGATCCGCCACAATTTATGTTTAAAAATGATTTTTTTATGATGTATCATTTATTTATTTATTTGAAACAACAAATCATTATATCATTATAAAGCTAACATTTTTTCTTGCACAACATTCATTTGAAACTCCCATCTATTTTTCTTTTCACCACATTCATTTGAAACTCTCATGACTTTTCAATTTCTTTCTAATAATAATTATAATTTGGTTAATTTGGTTAAATAAATATCAAAACTAACATGTAATCATATATAAACTAAATTTCAATATTAAAATAATATTTTTACTTCTACTAATAAAGTTATGTTTTTTAACATATAACATATTATACTTAATTTATTAATTTTAATATATTGTTGGATGTAAACCGTTATCATTTTAAAGATACAAGTTGGAACAATTTGTATAAAATACTTAAATTATTAATTTAAATATTACATAACAAGGTCAACTTAAATATAAATTTTAGTTTAACTTAAACAACCCAAAGAATATTTTATAAATAGTTAAAAGTGATAAATTGCAGTGTCTTTCTAATAATAATTATAAGTTGGTTAATAAGGTTAAATAAATACCAAACTTAAATTGTAATCATAAATAAACTAAATTTCAATTTTAAAATAATATATTTACTTCTACTTATAATGTTATGTCTTTAACTTTTAACATATTCTACTTAATTTATTACATTTTATATGATGTTAAATGTAAACCATTATCAATTTAAAGCTACAACTTTTGAACAGTTTGGACAAAGTACTTAAATTGTAAACATAAATATAACATTACAATGTCAACTTAAATATAAATTTCAGTTCCACTTAAAAAACTAAAGAATATTTTGTAAATCGTTAAAAGTGATAAATGCAAAAACTAAATTGTAGTCTCAATTTAACTAAAATATTTCCTAATGATATTTTTGTAATCATTAAAGGTTTTCAAATAAGTAGCTTAAAATAACTTACAATAACAATAGTTAAAAATAACTGTACATAAATGATTATATTGTTACCTTTAAAATCAAAAAATAACCTTTGATGTTTTAAATAATTATAATGATAGAAATTAAAAATTAAGCAAATAATTTTAAAAAATTAGTGAACAATAACAACAACTATAAATAATATTAAACCATAAATTATATTTAATTTTATTCATGTGTAACTCGCGGGTAGAAGTCATTGAAACGATTGAGATTATAAAGTTATAAGATGTATATATTATCATATAATTCAAAATAATCAATATATTATATCAATTTAGTATACGAATTGTTATATCAAATTTAACAACAACGTTATTGTTATATTAAAAAAAACATATATTTGTTAAGACTTCAACTATATAGGTGTTTCTGCGCATTACAATGTCAACTTAAATATAAATTTCAGTTCCACTAAAAAAACCAAAAAATATTTTGTAATAGTTAAAAGTGATAAATGCAAAAAAAACTAAATTGTAATCTCAATTTAACTAAAAATATTTCCTAAATGAATTTTTATAATCATTAAAAGTTTCCAAATAAGTAGCTTAAAATAACTTACAATAACAATAGTTAAAAATAACTCTATATAAATGATTATATTGTTACCTTTAAAATAAAAAAAAATAATGTTTGATGTTTTAAATAATTATAATGATATAAATTTAAAAAATTAAGCAAATAAATTAAAAAAAATTAATTAACAATAACAACTATAAACAACATTAAACCATATATTAAATTTAATTTTATTCATGTGTAACTCGCGAGTAGAAGTCATTCAAACGATTGAGATTATGAAGTTATAATAGATGTATATATTATCATGTAATTAAAAATAATCAATATATTATATCAATTTAATATAAAAATTATTATATCAAATTTAACAACAACGTTATTGTTATATTTAAAAAGAAAACATATATTTGTAAAGACTTCAACTATATAAGTATTTATGCGCAACGCGCCAGCATTTGCCTAGTATATTATAAAAAATGCTCATGTCTAACAAGGAGCTAGAAGAGGCTAGAAATGTACCATTTTAGTTAATAAGCAACTTTGTGTAAATTTGAATTTCGATTATATTTGTATCATCTTATCCAAATTTATGCTCCGCCACTTTTATGAATTGTGACAACCATGTTGACAAAAGTATATTTATTCGAAGACATAATCATACCGACAAAAACTATCCTTAGAATATATGAGTTGTGATATAAGTATCCCTTTAATTCACAATAGGTGCACAAGCACTATTACACTCACATGTAGGGATACACAACATTGGAGGGGTATGTATAGAAATTGTCATATATTTAACGACAAAAATCACCCATATCAAATCAGACATGTTAGACTAAATATTTTTTCATATTTACGAATAAATGAAAATTAAATAACCCACTTAACAAATGTTATGATTTTTGTACGATACATATTGTAATTTTTTGTTAATTAGTATTGTATTTTTTTTAATTGATATTGTACTTTTGACTTTGTATTATATTCAATAGTGGTATTTATATATTCAATAGTGGTATTTATTTGAAGGTAGTTGTAAGATATATTTAATAATATAACTAATTAACATACTATATAAATTGTAATTATATATTTTGGAAAAAAAATGTACAATAATAAAGATAAAAACTTAATTATTATTCAATAGAGCTTGTTCGGCAAAACTAGCTGGTAGCGGGTAACGTTTGATTTTGAAGCGTTTTGTTTAGGCTAAAAGCTAAACACTCTTGTCGCCGAACAAGAGTTTTTCTTTTTTAGTAGTTTTTTTTCTTAAAAGTTAGAAGTCAAAAGTTCCCAAACGCTGTGTGCCGAACATGCCCATGAACTAAAAATAAGATAAAAGTTATATGGCAACTTCCAGGAAAAAAAGTTCAAAATATTTCAAGGTGTCCGTAACGAATTGTTCAGGAAAGAAGAAAATTGTTCCATAGGTACAAACACAACCGACTACAACAACGCCAACGAAATTTCTTTATAGTAAACGCTGAACGTCACTTTTCTATGCAATTGCCATTAATCGTCGCCAATTGTTAATTGAGGACTCCAGCAAGGTAGCTTCTATAGTCTTTAAAGCCACTGCAATGTACAAATTCTTAAACACCTAGTACTACTATATATAGCATGATCATTCTATGGAAGTTTCAAAGAATAAACACATAGATTAAACACTTATCTGAAACCTCCATGTAAACAACTTTTTGGTGTATACATCCTTGAATCCTTAATGGCCTCACCGCCACCCCCTTCTATTAATTGGAACAGCCTCCGCCCTCCGCCTTCCCCTCCAAAAGATGATTCTCCGATAAATGTGTTCATTGCTCTTTTCATTACCCTTTTTGTCGTCTGTAAGTTCTTCCATTCCCTTCATAATTTAATGGCAGGCGTGGTTTTATTAAAAAAATGTAGATGGATGTTAATAGTTTATTTTTGTAGCTACAGTGGTATCGATCATTAAATATTTATACAATAATAAAGCTAAGAAGCGAAGGGAGGAATTCGGCCGTGTTAATAAGAAGCAAAGGGAGGAATTGTATAAGGACTCCCGCTTTATTCCGCTGAGCATGGTTAAATTCCTTGATGACATGGAAAGAGAAAAGCCCATCCGGTTCACCTCTCAACAGCTAAGAACAGCGACAGAAAACTTCAACATCTTACTGGGTTCAGGTGGGTTTGGGACAGTTTACAAGGGTGTTGTTAGCAACGACATAGCTGTAGCTGTAAAAGTACTAAACGGAACCTCAGACAAGAGAATTGAAGAACAATTCATGGCGGAAGTAAGCACAATGGGAAGAACCCATCACTTTAATCTATCAGGCTTTATGGGTTTTGCTTCGAGTCTAGTTTACGAGCTCTTGTATACGAATTTATGGTCAACGGCTCCCTGGATAATCACTTGTTTAAAGCGAATACAGGAGCTGTTCTAGGGTTTGAGCAGCTCTACGAGATTGCTCAAGGAACTGCAAGAGGAATCGCTTATTTGCATGAAGAATGTCCTCACAGAATAGTTCATTACGATATCAAACCAGGCAACATACTTTTGGATTCAAAGTTTTGTGCAAAAGTGGCGGATTTCGGTTTAGCTAAACTCTGCAACAGGGATAACACTCATATAACGATGACCGGAGGACGTGGTACTCCGGGATACGCCGCCCCCGAACTCTGGCTAGCTCTTCCAGTTACACACAAATGTGATGTTTATAGTTTTGGTATGCTACTTTTTGAGATCATCGGAAGGAGGAGGAACATGGACGAGCGTCTTGGTGATAGTCAACAGTGGTTTCCGATATGGGTATGGCGGAAATACGAAAAGAAAGAGTTGAAGGATTTGATGATTGTTTGTGGGATCGAGGAGAAGAATCATGAAGCTGTTGAGAGGATACTGAAGGTAGCTTTTTGTTGCGTTCAGTATAAGCCGGAGACTAGGCCAGGGATGAGCATCGTTGTGAAGATGTTAGAAGGTGCGTTACTGGTGCCGGAGACTGTAAATCCGTTTTCACATTTATTTTCTGGTGTTGATGAAGCTGATAGTTCTTTGGCTCGGTTGGCGTGGAATGATGGTGGTTCTGATTGGTCTTCGTCTGATGTTAATACCAAGTCTACTGAAGTTGCAGATACACCTTTGATGAGGAGATATGAGATCACAATGGCTTCCGTGTAATCATATACCGGAAGTACATAGGTGACGTCGTGCCAGCCCTCCACTCTTGGCTATTTTGTTAAACAAGTATATATTCGATTTGAGCCAGCCACCAATTAAATTTTTATATTGTTTGTCAAACCAAATGTTGTGATTATTTTGATGTAATTAAAGTGTATCTGTGATCGTTTATAGGTTAACACCTTAAATAAAAGCTGGAAATGAAGGTGTAACTATTTCATGGATTTAGATTATTAACTTGAGAACGAAAAGTGCATAATGTGGCACTTTTTGACGTAGACATTGATATTAATATCTATGTATTAATACTCGGCATTACTTGACACCAAGTCTATTGTAGTTGCAGGTACACCTCTGACGAGGACATATGGGATCACAATGGCCTACTAGTAATCATATAGAAGGACAGCCAGACAAGTGTCGTGCCTCCACTCATGGCTATATTGTATCAAACCAAGTCTAATCAAGATGATTTGAGCCACCAATTAAATCTTTAAATCGTTAATCAAACCAAATGTTGTGTTTATTTTGAGATAAAAATGCATCTATTATCGTTTATAGTTGAAAATCTTAAATAAAAGAAAAAAAATGCACTTGTAGCTATTTTATGACTTAGATTATTAATTTTAATAACGAAAAGTTCATAATGTGGCACACTTTGATGTATATGTTACTATTTTATACACAGTCCATGTCATGATCATCCTTTGAGATAAAGACATTGATTTTCTATATATATAAAAGTTAATTTTAGTGTCATCAAGCTTTTTAGTATAATGGAGATTACTCGAGATAAGTTTGTGTTCTCACTTCACTCTCGAACAACACTTACATGTTTACATATCATTGCTCCTTAACTATTACTTTTTTTCCAAGAAAATCGTCAACCCTAGACCTCCGCCTTAATTATCGCTGGACTACCTCTGTTGTTGCCTCTGGGCCGCTTCCATATGTCGGTTCTTAAGGTTCATTTGGATTTGTATTAGTATTCTCTTTCTTTCAATGTCTTTTGACTTTAGAGTTGTTTGCGAAGATTATATTAAGGGAAATGGTTTGTACACAACAGGTTTTTGTCATACAAAACAATTTATGCATTATATAGTTATACAGTACAACATTTTAAAGCATCAATTGTTGTGTATGGAGAAAATTTGTTGTGTACAAATCATTTCCCTTATATTAAACAAAGTAAAAGCAAAAAATGAAGAGTCTAATATTTTGTGAGTATCATTACCCACTATCCACTGAAAAGCGATAAATTTGACAACGAACAAATATTAGACCATGCGACATACTCACCATGCACCCTACACGGTGCAGACTTGGCATGTGTGGACCCGTAGAACCACAACCCCCTCCCAGTGAGGTCATGATGTGGAGGCTCATTGCATAGACGGTCGTGGCCTCAGACACTCTTTACCACACCATTTTATTCCTCTTTCTCTACCCCTTTCTTTTGGATGGAGAGATTTGTGTAATTGTGTTGAAAGTGGCGGCTAAGCACCCCTGTGACATGGTGAATGTACCTCTCACAACCCCTGTGGTGTGATGAATATACATTACAACCTTTTACGTATTGAAAAAATGAAAAACATGAACAAATATTAAAAAAAAAAAAAAGTAATGTTACTCTATCATTAAGAATTAACAGTTAATGTTGTTAAGTTTTTTATTAATTTAGTTTGTAGTTATTTATGAAAACTTATTTGCTAATTGCTATTTCATTTTATTCCTTTTAGTTATTAATTTTTATATATAATATATATCTTCTATACAAATTAAAAAAACGGTTTGTTTTGAAGTTTGGTTTCAACCCCCTTTTCCCGTGGTTCCTGGCTCATGTATTGCCCATGTTGACAAGTATAAAGTTTTCTTAGCACTTAAATTGCGCAAGCTATAATTTGTACACAATTGGATATGGTCTTTACTGGCGGATATTAAGCTAGTTGGCACGTCAATTACTACCATAAATGAATTTAATGAGAAGTTGGCCAGTGTAAAAATTGGTAAGACTTTATTCCATATATCTTTTTATTTACAACTTTACATATATACTAACTTTTTTTTTGTTTTTTTTGTTTTTTTGTTTTTTTTTGTTTTTGTTTTTTTTTTTTTTTTTTTTTTTGTTTTTTGTTTTTTTTTTTGTAGAGACACTTTCAATGGGTAAAAAAATCATCAAAGGATCGATCTTGAACAAGATAGTGATTGAATTGCTTGCATGTAAATAAGATATTATACTTTGGTTTATATTTTATGCTTTTGTGAGCTTTTTCTAATCTTTAATTCGGTCTTGGATTTTGGTTGCAATATTTATGATGTTTGTGGTTTGTACTTTTGCAGCAATGAAAAGAAGATCATAATAGCAAGGTCGGAAAAATTGAAAGAAGGTTAGAATGTCTTGGGTAGAAGACTATAAGTGATGATTTTTTGTAAATTTTCAAAATGTTTAAATATGTTATTTTTAAGATGTTAGGTTTTTAACTATAATTTTAAATATTGTTAGTCTAGTTATTTGTGGTGTTTTAATGTTGGCATTACAACAGAAACTTGAAATTTGAGTGACTAGATAGTTGTTTTTAAAATTGGTGGTGTTTTTTAGTTGTTAAAGTTTAAATATTCTCCTTTCTCGTATGATTCTCAAACTTCTTTCTTCCTTTCCTAGCAGCTTTGCATGGTTTGATTTAAAATGGGCCCATAACCTATTAAAGCATTACCCCACTCACATCCTACAGGCCACAACCAACCCAAATAATGAAACAATGGCAGGCCACAACCGTGAAATAGTTCCCTTATGGGATTCGGGATTTTTTTTGTTTTTAAAACCGTCTAAGGGCCTGTTTGATTTGAATTTACCGGGTCCGGTCAGTGCTGACTGCTGACCCGGTCAGCAGTCAGATGTTTGATAATAACATATATTAGCTGATTCAGTCAGCCCATTCCAATTCATTCTACTTACTCGGTCCGTCCAAAATACCCTCCTGACTAGATCAGGGCTTCCATCGATTTATGCCCTTTCTCGCCTCACCCTTCTCTCGCCAAAATTGAACACAGAAAGCGATACCCAACAACTGGTCGCCCTCCATCGCACGTCGACTACACCCTCTGCGCCACCTTCTCCAGCGAAGACCACACAGCGACGGCGACAAGCACACAGCGCCGGTGAGGAGAGGTAAGTTTCTGCGTTTTTTTTTTTCTGTTTTGGCTTTTGCTTCTTGAAATCAAAAATCCTTTGATGTTTGTTGTCAAATTACTGATTACATGCTGAAATCAAAGTTTGAAATTACTTATTTCATTATTCTTGGATTCAATTAGATTGAAGGATTACCATAAAATCAATTGACATGAACTCATGAGATGAACTAATGTTTGAATATGTTTGTACATTCTTGTGTGAAATCAGAAATTAAAGATTGTTATATGCTTATGAGATCAAAATTTATTTTGTATGATGAAATCACATTTATGTGTTCTTGTTTATAAAAGAGTGTTTTATGTTGTTGAAAATATGATGAAATCACATTTATATGTTTTTGTTTATAAAAGATTGTTGTATGCTTATAAAATCAATTCATAATGTGTTTTTGTTTATAAAAGATTGTTATATGCTTATGAGATCAAAATTTATTTTGTATGAGGAAATCACATTTATGTTTTTTTGTTTAAAAGACTGTTTATGTTGTTGAAAATATGATGAAATCACAATTTTGCTTGATTTATTTGTAAACATGTGTTATGTGGATGATTTATTTGTAAATGTGTGTTATGTGAATGATTTGGTTACTTTTTTTTTCTTTTTTACAATAGACATGACGGATAAAAGAACTAGGGTTAGTTGGAAGTCGGAATTGGTGGACAAAACTTTTTTGGAAGCGTGTATACAAGAATTAACAAGTAATGGCCGGGACGGTAGTGGCCTAAAAGCAAGCTCATGGGCTGTGGTCGCGGAGAAATTGAAAACAGATCATAATTTTGTTGTCGACAAAAAACAAATGAAAAACCGATACGACTATTTAAAAGCAAAGTATGGAGTGTGGTTAAAACTTAAAAACAAAACAGGAAATATTTACAATCCCGTAACAAATTCTTTTAACATGACTAATGAAGAATGGGAAGCGGAAGCGAAGGTATATATATACATATTTTTTAAATTAGATTATTTTTTTACTACTTTAACAATATTTATTAAATTTTCAAACAGCTGAACAAGTATGTAGATAAGCTGAGAAATGCACCCCTCCCTTGCCCTAATCTTTGTACCCAACTATTTGATGGGGCGACCTCGACCGGTGTTCATAGTTGGGGGCCATCTTCGATACTACCTCATCCCAATGAAACCTTCAGTACACATGATTTTGAGGATACAGAGATGGAAGAGCCAGCACCTCATCCAGATACCCCCAAGCTCAACCGTACCTCAACCTACTAGTGAGGAATCATCTGGGCGGACAAAAAACAAGGGGGGCAAACGAAATGGTCCTAAAGAAACCACACTTGATGATGAGTTGAAAGAAGTTGGAAAAGAAATTATCAAGGCTGCACAAGCATTCACGGAAGCAAATAATCTTGACAAGGAGATGGATGCTTGTATGGCGAAGTTGACAAGCTTGGAGTGGGGAGAATATGATCCGAAATACACCACTGCTCTTATGTTATTTGCTGAAAGTGCTGGCAATAGGAAAATTTGGTTGCGCCTTAACTTGTCAACTTGTGAGTCGTGGGTAACAAATGCGGGAAGAAAGTTTGGATTAGTTGGTTGACTTTAGTATGTTATGGTTTATTGTTTGACTTTAGTATGTTATGGTTCATTGTTTGACATTAGTATGTTATGGTTTATTGTTTGACTTTAGTATGTTATGGTTCATTGTTTGACATTAGTATGTTATGGTACATTGTTTGACATTAGTATACTATGGTTTAGTTATGTTATGGATTGTTTTCTGAGGTGCACTTATGTTATATGAATTTATATGTTATGGAATGTTATTCTTTTAGTATTTACA